TATATATATATATATATATATATATATATATATATATTTTTTTTTTCTTTCTTGTTATTAATTTTTATGATAGATATATATATATATATATCGAAATATCGAATTTTTAGGTTGCACTTTTTTTTCCCCTGCACGGACCGCTTATAGAAATTTTAGCAGTAGTCTCTCTACTCTTCTACAGCATTGTTGTTTTCAGCCGACTGCGCCTGCGATAGAATGGACTGATATTGTCGAAGAAAAATAGAGAGGAATAGGTGGCACATTGCACCTGTATCTCGTTCAAAACGTTCAATAAATGATAAATTGTTTGATAACGCAATGATCACGCTTTATCACGATTGAGATCATCATCAACGATTTTCTTTACATTAATTCTTTTTATGTAAGATGAATATATCTTTAAAATTATTCGTTTTTCGGTTAAAAAAAATATCGATGATTTCAATCGCGTGAATGCGTCCCTTTTCATTTTTTATCTCTCGCCTCTTAAAAATTTATCTCTCCTTTTTTCATACCTTGGAAAAAGTTTACACACATATTTTTAGACGAGTCGTTGAACGAACAACAGAAGTCGGATTGTTTCTATTGTCGAAACGGCAACAAGGGTCAATGATGTTTTTTTAAAAAAAAAATCTCGATTCGATAATTCCTTTGCGATAAAACCTAGATAGACAGTGAAAAAATTATTTTGCGTCTATTTTATAATATATCGATAGAATTCGAATTAAATTCATTAAACTTTTTGACCAGAGTTGATACGTATATTAAATTTTATTTATCGAAGATTCGAATCTTAAAAATTCGATCGAGAATGAATGAATTTAATTTAAATTGTCGGATCGTGCATGATTTTATGAACGATAAAATATAAATTAATTCGAAAGATACGTAATTATAATCATAAATAATCGTTAAAAAAAATATACGCAAATTAAGAATAAATCGAAATAATCGCGAATAAGTTCGTGCATCGATAGATTATACTGGAGAAATTTAAATTTTATGATTTCGCTAAAAAAAAAGAAAACCGCTTTTAATTAACGATTGGTACGCTTTGATTCAAAGAAAACCGGTATATTCCTTACGATAATATAAATTTGATAACGCGATTCAACAACGATAAAAATAGCGTTAGAAAATGATTTCCATTGTTGGCGTTAAAAGAGAATAATATATAAGCATCTACGGTGTAAGCGATCGCGAAAGTGAAAGCAGACTGTATGTTTATATGCGTATATATATATATATATATATATATATATATAAATATATGGAGTATTCAATCGACCTCGGAATAGCGCAACGGTTGGCTCGCGCACGATATCTAACCAAACCTTGTTAAAAGGTATTGGAGAGCGAGTGTGTTGTTTAAAAGGATATAAAAATGCATGTTGCACGAGTCACAGTTGCATCTATTATTATTAATTAATGTTAAAGTTTCTTTTCAACGGATAGTAAATTTACGTAATATTTTATTTCGAAATAGTTAGTTGTTCGAACGAATTTTCTTTTCTTAGATTCTTCCGTTATAATTGTTTGTGCGTCAAACGGTCGACGAATCGTTCCGGTTCGCTTCTCATCACATTTTGTCGATGTGACAAAAATAGTATACATCAGTAATAGCTTGTTTATTCTAAAAGTTTCTTAATAAGCGAGAAGAATATTTATCTATCGTAAAAAATAAGCAATTTTATGGAAGATGATTTTTACATATATCGATTGATGTATCGTAAAGGGAATTACGTCATAAAATTGGAGAATTCGTTTCGCGTAATTAAGAAACACGATTATTCGTGAGTAGAACGAAAGAGCGTGGGTACGTTAATCGACGTCTGATCGTAACACAAATAACAGAAAAGTCTCACGGAGAAGAGCAATTGTGTACGAAGATGCTTTGCATACAATCTTGAGTTCAACCGTTCTAAGGACTTTCACTTGGAATTTACGTCAAAGGGAAGTGAACTAACTCGGCGATAAATCAGTTTACAATTAAATTTTCTTTCACACTTGGATCTTTCGTTTCGTATTATACTTCTTCTTTTTTTTTTTTTTCCTTTGTTCCCCGTGGGAAATCCACTACATCTCTTTCTTATTATATTCGTTAACGAATGCGGTACAACTTTTTCCAGATCGATATAAATTCCCTTCTTTATATAATTGTCTTTAATTATCTTTCGTACATTTTTTTTTATCGATCGAAAAGAAAATTGATTTTTTTTCTTCCTCTTCTTTTTTTTCCCTCCCATTACTAACATTTTAATTTCTCTTCAAGATTTCGATTCCAATTAGAATTTGAACTTTAGAGATAACACCTTTCTACTATTGGAAATTCGATACTTTCACGCTTTTTATCCTTACTCGCGATGAAGTAAACAAACGACTCCCGTTTACGAACATATCTCGCTACAACATAGTTGGTTCATCGCTCCTTTTCACTACCAACAACCACGCGATGGATTAATACAAGGGAACGATGAATCGTGGTATTTCAACGAGTCTGTCGAGCGGATCGGTAAAGCCTTGAACGGTATCCGAACGGTATTCTCCACAGGAGAACGTAATTCCCAGACCAGACGAATTCTCAGTTTGTCGCGTGTTCTCGTCGCGATAGTATACTATTTGCTTTCTTTCGCGTTTCCATCTCTCGTGAACGCGATTCCTCTCGACCCGAACTCTTACTCGGTCGACGAAAGTCGAGTCGAGTGTTGTCCAAACACTGTTCGAATTATTATCGAGTCGACCAAGTGTTCGGTAAATAAGTAATTTAAATAATGGTTATTGTTTCGCGGTTATCTTGCATCCGGGTGAAACTTATTTCACGAAATATACTTTTGACCTTCAACAGTTTTTTTCAAGCGTATCACGGGTGTTTAGAAATTCGACCAAATAAATTCGGCAGAGTGAACAAATATTTCGTATTGAAATAATTTCCAATTTTTGCATCGCGCGTTTCGTCACGTTTTTTTTACATACGCTTGTAAAAATTGATTTAAAAAGACAATCGTTTGTTATTAAAATAAATTTGTTAGTCAAAAAAAAAAAAATTAATTATAATAAAAAATATATATATATATATATATTTAAGATTTATCAAAAGATTTATGAAAAATCATCATTTTAAAATATTCGAAATAAATGTGTATGTTTAAAATATTTGTCGACCCACTTTATCGCAGTGTGTGATTGTTATTAACGTGCGAGTAACTCGATAGAAAGTACGATTGCATTGCAAGACTAATTTTTGTCTCTTGACATCGTATTCTTATATTACCGTATTCTTATATACTTTGAAAAAATATTATTTTCTTCGAAATAAATATGTATGTACTCGCTTTATCGAACAAAATCTAATCGAATATATATATATATATATATATTTTTAAATTATTATAACGAATTTCTAAACGTAATATCGAGCGAATCGATTAATTTAGAAAAGGAAACAAAGGAAAACGGGAAAAAATTGAAATAATAAAAAATAATTAACGATAAATCGCACTTTTTTTTTCTTTCTTAACAACAGATATTATAAGTTTCGATTTTAAATTCGCGGATAATTGGCACGATAATGATTAATTTATCGATAATGTTAATTTGTAGTATCAACGTGGGAGTGGTTAACCGTTAGATAAAATCAGGAAATGAAAATGCGGGTCGGATCGACTCTCCACCTTTTCAATATCTTGCTTCAAATCCATCTCTGGACCACGACCGTCGCTGGCGACGAGGATAAACTTCGCGTGATCTTCCAATGGAAACAGCTCGATTACGAATGGCCGAACAACGAAACCAAACTTCTCTTCCCAGGATACAAACAGGAGGACAACCTTCCCCTTGGCCTCGAGATTACGAGCACCAGGATATTTGTCACTGTGCCGAGATGGAGGCGCGGTGTCGTTGCCAGTTTGAATTACTTTTACGTAAATGGTGAATAATAACAATAATAATAATAATAACAATAATATTCTATCAATTATTTTTAGTATTGATGTATTAGAATCGATTTT